TCACCATCATTGGTCTCTTAGTCTTCTTTCCTTTTTGTTATTCTTAAGGTGTTGAATTTGCTTGCATCCCATGTCATTAGGAGAAACTCCCTTTTCAAATTGTGTGATTCCCAAGACTATAATCATAGATGCCTTCCCAAAACTATTGTCATAATTGTCACTGGAATGTTTAAACGTCTCTACTGTACTGACAAAATACATGGCAATGCATTAAAATGAGGCAGAAACAAAATCCTTAGTAACATTGATGATACCACACTGATCATGATGGTTGGAAAGTCAGTAAACAGTTTTGTCCTTTCACTCAACTTCATTGCGTTATTTCATTCAACTTTATAGGCTGATAATCCTTGCTCAGTTATTTTCCTCATTAGACTTAAAGAAATGGAGAAAGATTAAAAATTGCTTGTTCTTCATATATCCTCCTTGTTCTGACTTGTGCTATTAGTTTTCTTCTTGTGACTCCATTATTTTCTACTTTCAATCCTCTCCGCTTGTAACTCTTTTTCCCTTATCATGCTAAGGATAACCCTTATATTCATCCCATTTATGCTGCCAAGGGCTAGTGGTTGGTGCTGGTACAGAAAGCCCAGAATAAGGCAGCATTCTTAAATTTGCCTGTCTAGGGTACCCCACCCTGCCTTTCATCTAATAAGAAAGGCTACTTACACGTTTCTAGCATAACCAATCTCAGATTAGCAGCTAAAGACAAAATGTTGCCACATATTTATTCTTTTTGCCTAAGGTTGGTTACCCAGTTAAATTGCTTTTCATTTTTAATGGTTTACTCTTCAGAGTTCTTACCTCAAAAGAGCAATCAGAACATTTGCTTTTCTTTCTGCAGAACTCCTAATGTCAATAATCCATACTGGACTGTCCAGTTTTCCTCTTGTGTTCTGTTCTTTTCTATCCAAACAGAATGTATGCCAAGAGTTTCTTGCCTCTAGCAATTTCTGCTAAAATGTCCAACTAGACTGTTTCCTTTTACAGTTAAATTATTGTACTTATTAATTTGATAGAATACATTAAATCATTTCTCTAGCTCTGGTTATACTATCAATAAAAAGATGAAAGCAACAACAACAACAAAACGAAAAACAAAACTACAGTTGCCATATGCTTGCAGTAGGTAGTCCACAGCCAGCCAGAGAACCTTGCTCATCCCCTGTGGAGATTGCTGAATGGTGCAGACCCTCAGTAATGCTACCTCCTTCTCTGGGCACATCTGATGTGCTGCTCCTGCAGTTTGTGGCTGAGTTTCCTAAGGATATCATCTTATATTTGCTTTTTGACAAAACTGAAAGCCACAGTCAATCATCTTACTCTGGTCTGGGGTTGTTCCTCTCTGCTACTGCATGGCTGTTGTCCTGGGGCTTCTCCAGTTTTTTGGGATGAAACCAAAGTTTTCTAGATCTTTTGTCTTCCTCTTTGCTGGTTTATTCTCTCATTTTTCTGGAATACAACATCTAGGAACTTTTTTTTTTTTTTGAGTTAAGTCTCACTCTGTCACCCAGACTGGAGTGCCGTGGCACACTCATGGCCACCCCAGCGTCGACCTACTGGGCTCCAGCTATCCTTCCGCCTCAGCCTTCCAAGTAGCCGGAACTGCAGGCATGTGCCACCGCACCCGACTAATTTTTTATTTATTGTAGAGATGACGTCTTGTGAAGTTGTCCGGGCTGATCTCGAACCCGCGGGCTGAAGCAATCCACTTACCTCAGCCTCCCAAAGTGCTGGGATAACAGGCTGAGCCACCGAACCTGGCCAGAACTTATTTTTTTAAATTTAGTTTCCTGATGCAAAGTTTTCTTTGAAATATGTGGTCTTAAGCTGGGCCGGGTGACTCAGCCTGTAATCCCGTGCCTTGGGAGGCTGAGGTGAGTGGATTGCCTGAGCCCGCAGGTTCAAGACTCATCTGGGCAACTTGGCGAGTCCTCATCTCTGCAATAAAAATTAAAAAATTAGCCGGGTGTGGTAGCACGCACTTGTAGTTCCAGCTACTTGGAAGGTTGAGGCGGAAGGATCGCCGGAGCCCAGCAGGTCGAGGCTGCAGTGGTCGGGAGCAGCCACTGCACTCCAGTTTGGGCTGCAGAGTGAAACTCCAACTCAAAAAAAAAAAAAAAAAAAAGAAATATGTGGTCTTAATTTAGCTTTATTGGAACTATGTAATTTCTCATTTGATAAAATAAAGAGAAACGGTAAAAGTTGGTATCACTGAACTTTCTTTAAACTGCAATAATTTGTATTTTACTAGAGATTCAATCAGTGTAGTCTATTTAAAACCTCAAAAGTTATTAGATACAGGAATGAAGCAGAAGAAAAGCCTGGAATTTAAAAAGTATTATGTTTTGGTTATCATTATTCTCATTGTTTATTTTAATGCTTTCTCTTACTCTGTAGATAGTCCTGATGTCAGCTACCATCAACTGTAAAGAATTTGCAGACTACTTTGCCATTCCTATTCAGAACAAGATGAATCCTGCATATATTTTTGAAGTGGAAGGCAAGCCCCACTCAATTGAAGAATATTATCTTAATGATTTGAGGCACATTCATCCTAGCAGGGTATGTTGGAATGCGTTTTTTTTTAAATAGTGATTTTATTTTTGAATTTGATCAAACTGTACTCATCACCTATGATTGTAAGGCTCCTTTTAAATTATTTTTAATTGACATATATGAATTTATGTAGTACAGTATGGTATTTTGATACCTTTGTACAATGCGTAATCATCAACTCAGGGTAATAAACAAATCTGTCATCTCAAACATTTATCATTTCTTTGTGTTGGGAATATTTAAAATCTTCCGTTCTAGCTATTTGAAAATATGTAATAAATTGTTGTCAACTATAGCCGCCCTACAGTGCTGTAGAACAATGAAGTTGGACTCTGTGGTTCTTGCCTGTAGTCCTACTATAGTGAAATACTATCGCCTGTAAAAACAGAACACAAGAAATTATTTATCTTATTTAGTTATAATTTTGTATCTATTTACCAACTTTCTCCTTCCCTCTCCCCTTCCCAATCTCTAGTAACCTCTTATTCTGGTCTCTACTTCTATGAAATCAGACTCTACATACAAATGAGATCATGTAGTATTTATGTACCTGACTCACTTCACTTATCATAATGTCCTCTAGGCTCAGCTATGTTGCTGAGAATGATAGGATTTCTTTTTTCTTTAATGACTGAATAGTATTCTGTTGTATATATATACTGCATTTTTTAAACCCATTTGTTTGTTGATGTATACTTAGGTTGATTTCATATCTTGGCAATTGTGATTAGTACTTCAGTAAATAGGAGAGTGGAAAAATGTCCTCAATATACTGATTTTTTTCCTTTAGTTATATATTCTGTAAGATTGCTGGGTTGTATGGTAGTTCCGCGTTTAGGTTTTTGAGGATCCTCCTTACTGCTATCTTTATGGCTTTACAATTCACATTTTCACCAACAGTATTTAAGAGTTCCTCTTTCTCTGCATTCTTGCCAGTATTTGTTGTTTTTTTATCTTTTTGATAATAGCCATTCTATTACATGTGAGATAGTCTCTCTATATAGTTTTGATTTGTATTTCCCTGATGATTAGTGATATTGAGCATTTTTCACATACTTATTAGCAGTTTTATGTCTTCTTTTGAGAAATGCCTATTCAGATCATTTGCCCATTTAAAAATTAGATAGATTTTTTTTTGCTGTTGAGTTGAATTCCTTATATATTCTGAATATTAATCTCTTGTCAGATGAATAGTTTTGCAAATATTTCCTCCCATTCTACAGGTTATCTCTTTGTTGATTATTTCCTTTGCTGTACAGAAGCTTTTTAGTTTGACATAATTCCATTTGTCTGTTTTTGCTTTTGCCACCTGTGCTTTTGAGAGCTTATCCATGAAGTTTTTGCCCGAACCAATGTCCTGAGCTTTTCTCCTATGTTTCTTGTAGTAGTTTCATAGTTTTGGGACTTACATTTAAGTAGTTAATCCATTTTTAGTTGATTTTTGTATGTAGTGAGAAGGGTCTAGTTTCGTTCTTCTACATATGGATATCCAATTTTCCCAGCACCATTTATGGAAGAGATTCTCCATTCCTTAGTGAATGTTCTTGGCACCTTTGTGAAAAGTGAGTTGGCTCTAAGTACATAGTTTTATTTCTGGGTTCTCTATTCTGTTTCATTGGTCATCTATGTGTCTGTTTTTATGCCAACACCATTATTTTTGTTATTATAGCTTTGTAGTGTATTTTGAAATCGGAAAGTATGATGTCTCCAACTTTGTTTTTTTTTTTTTTTTCATCATTTCTTTCTTTCTTTTTTTTTTTTGAGTTGGAGTCTCACTCTGTCGCCCAGACTGGAGTGCAGTGGCTGCTCCCGGCCACCACAGCCTTGACCCGCTGGGCTCTGGTGATCCTTCCGCCTCAGCCTTCCAAGTAGCCGGAATTACAGGCATTTACTACTGTTCAGGATTTCTTTGGCTATTTAGGGTCTTTTGTGGTTCCATATGAGTTTTAGGATTTTTTTTCTATATCTGTAAAGAATGTCATATATATTTTGATAGGGATTGCATTGAATCTGTAGATTACTTTGGATAGCATTTTAGCAATAGGCTTCCAATCCATGAGAATGAGAGATGCACTTTAATATTTTATGTCCTCTTCAATTTCTTTTGTAAGTGTTTTACTATAGGGATTGTTCACCTCCTTGTTTAAATTTATTCCTAAGTATTTAATTTTTTTCATAAAAATGAGATTTCTTGATTTCTTGTTCAGATAGTTCATTTTTGCTGTATAGAAATGTCACTGATTTATTAATGTTGACTTTGTATCCTGCAGCTTTACTGTCTGTGTTTATTAGTACTAAGAGTTTTTCTGTGGCATTTTTAGGGTTTTCTGTATCGTCTGCAGACAGGGACAGTTTGACTTTCTCCTTTCCAATTTGGAGGCCCTTTATCTTTTTTTTTTTTTTTTTGCCTAATTGCTTTGGCTAGGACTTCTAATACTATGCTGAATAAGAGTGGTGAGAGTGGATATCCTTGTCTTGTTCTAGCTCTTAGTAGGATGTTAGCTGTAGGTTTGTCATATGTGACCTTTATTGTGTTGAAGTATATTCCTTTTGTGTGTAATTTGTTTTTTTATTTTTAGCACACATCTGTAGCAGCTTAACTTACTGAGAGTTTTTATCATGAAAGGATGTTGACTTTTATAAATGCTTTTTTCTGTATCTGTTGAGATGACCATATGGTTTTTGTTCTTCAGTCTGTTGATGTGATGTATCATGTTTATGATTTGTGTATGTAGAACCATCATTGCGTCCTTGGGATAGATTCCACTTTGTCATGGTATATAATCATTTTGATGTATTGTTGGATTTGATTTGCTAGTATTTTATTGAAGATTTTGTATCTATCTTCATCAAGGATATTAACCTGTAGTTTTCTTTATTTGTTGTGTCCTTATCTGATTTTGGTATTAGGGTATTTCTGACCTCATTGTGAATGTGTTTGGAAGCATAACCTCCCCTTTAATTTTTTGAACTAGCTTGAGAAAAATTGGTATTAATTATTTCAAAGTTTAGTAGAATGACTGTGAATCTATCCGGTCACTGGATTTTCTTTGTTGGAAGACTTATTACTGATATAATTTTGTTACTCATTATTTGTTTGTTCAGGTTTTCTATTTCTTCTAGATTCATTCTTGATAATTTTTACGTCTCCAGGAATTTATCCATTTCTTCTAGGTTTTCTGATTCATTGTTCATAATAATCTTTACTGGTCCTTTGTATTGTTATTAGTTGTAATGTCTCCTTTTTCATTTCTGATTTTATGCATCGGGTATTTTCTCCTTTTTTCTTAGACTAGCTAAGGGATTGTTGAAATTTTTTCTGCTCTTCTTATGTAGGTGTTTTTGCTGTTAACTTCCCTCTTAATAATCCTTATGCCATATCCTATAGATTTTGGTATGTTGTGTTATTATTTTTATTTGTTTCAATAAATTTGTAAATTTCCTTCTTAATTTCTTCATTGAATTATTGGTTATTCGGGAACATGTTGTTTAACTTGCATATTTTTGTACAGTCTCACATTTTTTCTTTTGTTATTGATTTCTAATTTTATTGTGGTCAGAAAAGATACTTGATATGATTTTAATTTTTAAAAATTTGATGAGATTTGTTTCATTACCTAAAATATGGTCAGTCTTGGAGAATATTACATCTTCTGTTGAAAAGAATGTGTATTTGGCAGCTGTTGGATGAAATGACCTTTAAGTATCTATTTGGTCTATTTGGTTTGTAGTGCAGTTTAAATTTGATATTTATTTGTTGATTTTCTGTCTAGATGATCTGTCTGATGCTTAAAATGAGGTGCTGAGGTCCCCAACTCTTGTTGTATAAGAATATATCTCTCCCTTTAGATCTAGTAATATTTCTGTGTATATCTTGGTGTTCTGGTGTTGGGTGCATATATATTTGAATTGTCACATTTTCTTGCTGAATTGATCCCTTTATCATTATATAATGATCTTGTTTGTCTCTTTTTACAGTTTTTAAATTAAAGTCTTTTTATCTAAATATAGTTACTCCTGTTTGCTTTTGGTTTCCATTTGCATAGAATATCTTTTTCTATTCCTTCAGTTTCAGTCTGTGTGTATCTTTACAGGTGAAGTGAGTTTCTTGTAGGCGGCATATAGTTGGGTCTTTTTTAAAATACCCATTCAGTCATCTGTATCTTTTAACTGGGGAATTTAATTTATTTACATTCAGGGTTATTATTGATAGGTGAGGATCTACTCCTATCATTTTGCTAATTGTTTTCTATTTTTTTAGTATATCCTTTGTTTTTTTCTTCCTCTCTTATTATTTATCTTTGTGGTTTGGTGGGGTTTTTTTTTTTTTGTAGTGATGAGGTTTGATTCCTGTCTCTTTCTCATTTGTGTGTCTGCTCTACCAGGGAGCTTTATACTTCCACATGTTTTCTTGATGGTAGTTATTATTATTATTTTTTTGCTTCTAGATGTAGGTCTTCCTTAAGCATTTCTTGTATGGCTGGTGTAGTGGTGGTGAATTCCCTCAGATTTTGCTTGTCTGGGAAATAATGTATTTCTCTCCCAATTCTGAAGGATAGTTGGGCATAGTATTTTTGGCTTACTGTTGCTTTTTTTTGAGTATTTTAAATATATCATTCCATTCTGTCTTGGTCTGTAAGGTTTCTGCTGAGAAAGTCTAATGAGGATTTTTTTATGTGTGACTTGATGCTTTTCTTTTGCTATTTTTAGAACTTTCTCTTTGTCCTTGACTTTTGACAATTTGACTATAATGTGCTTTGGAAAGGACCTTTTCAGGTTGAATCTATTTGGGACTTTGAATTTCCTCTATTTGGATGTCCATATCTCTTCAGAAGCTTGGGAAATTTTCAGCTATTATTTCACTGAATAGATTTTCTAGACACCCTTTTATACCTTTTCCTTCTGAATCTGTCATAATGTAAATATTTGCTTGCTTAATGGTTCATAAATCCTGTAGTCTTTCTTACTTTCTTAATTCATTTTCTCTCTCTTTCTCTCTCTCACTC